TGCGTGTGCGTGTGCGTGTGTGTGAGCACTGTGTCCGCCAAATCCCAGCACGGCTGCTCAAGCAACCGTGTGCCTTGCCACCAAGGCCTCAAAGAGAGCATGGCGAAGAGAAGCAGCCCGGCGCATCTGCCTGGCCAGGAAGGGCAACCGGGAAATGAGACGGCAAGAGAGACGGAGAGAGTGAGAGAGACTGACTGAGACTCTGAGAGAAGACCGGAGATTAGGCGATCGAGACCAAGAGATCAAAGAAGATTGACACAACTAAACACAGGGAGAGACATGTATAGATAGACCGGATGAAGTAGCTCGATCTGAGATGTGGATTTGCAGAGACGTAGAGTATGAAGACGGGAGTGATGACTCCAGCTCTTCATCTGAGACACACCCAGCTCAAAGAAGACCAGTGATAGCGCGGGTGGATGCTGCGCAGCCTGAAAAGCTGTGACACTTCTGGGGCAATCCGAGTGCAGGAAGCTCTGCCGGCTACAAAATTCTCTCGAGAGCGTATCGGCTGGACAGAAAAAAGCCTCTGACCCAAAGACCTGTGCACCTGCACCTTTATGTCTGGCTTTTTCGCCATTCCGTTCCTGCAGCTACTCTGGAAAGCAGTGCAAGGAAAACGGAAAGTAAACCCAGCAATGCTTTTTGTGCCCCGTCAAGATTCACGGTGTACCTGGACATGGCAGCATCAGCCAGAGGAGCACATCAGATCTTCTCACATATCGTCTGGAAGCTTCAATGCCTAGTGATAGAACTTTAGGAACCATAATTCCGAAGCCAGAACCAGACGCGCAAGAAGCTGAAGAACTCGGCTCTTTAGACTTTGGACCCTTCCTCCGAAAGATCCGAGCCGACAGTCGAAGCCAAGGACGGCTTTTCGGTAAATTTTGTCAATGCCACTTGGGAACGGAAAGCGGCCTTCTACTGGGACCACCCACCTAGGAGCACAGTTTCCTACGTAGTTAAAGCCCTGAACCCCGAAACCCTAAAGCTTGTAGTAAACCCCTGAACCCTCGACCTTATAAACCCCAAAACCCTCAATCTTAAACCTCTGAAGGCTACGCCCGAAATCTTAAACCGCCGAACCCCAAGTTCAAAGCTGAGAGGCACAAGCTTTAGAGCGTAGGCCCAGAGCAGCCGACCCTTGGAGAGCCCGGAGCCCGAGATGTCTGCAGCCTGCCTGGAGTTAGAGTATAGTATAGTAGAGTAGAGTACATTAAAGGTATGTTTGTATTGTATAGATTATAGTACATTCTAGTATTAGTATGTTAATTGAGCCTGGAGTTTAAGACTGATTGTGTTGAACGACTGTTTGTGAATCTGTGCTTGGAGATATCCGGCGTCAGGGGGTGTAGGGATTTAGGTTTTCGATGGTTGTTGGCTGTAGGGTCTAGGCCCCTCGGTTCAGGTTGATGCGGTTTCGGCGTTTGCACTCAGACTCTCCAGGCCAGGCATGTGTCCACGAGGTCTCTGATGAAAGGAGGAGCTGGTCTCTGGAAAGAGAGGTTAAGCCAGTCACTACCCAACAGAAGTAAGTTAACCTTTGCGGTTTAGGGTTTAGGCGTACGGCTTGGGGGCTTTGGCGGGCAGCTGTCAGCACGACATTCAAGAAAGAACGAGGAAGTGTTCCAGGGCAGCATTCTGTGCCTGCCTACTAGAAATCTCGACTACAGGACCCGTGTAAACACAAATACGGCTCATTGTTCATCCTTATATTCGGCAGGGTCCGGAATGTAAGATGCTTTGCAAGGAAGCCGCCTCGGATGATGTTGGGGCATATATATATACATATGTACATATATATATATATATCTGGGAACCACCCATCCTTGGAAAACCCTTCTAGAGATTCTAGAGCCCTTCTAGAGCGCCACAGTTAAGCCCTGTATACAGTATATACACGCAGATATCCTCCAGAACCCCTTGCAGAGCGTTGGCAAAGCCCCAGAGCCGCTTCTACAAACAATGTCCGGTATAGGAACAAAAAATGTAAAAGGAACCAAGCGGCAAAACAAGATGCCACTGAAGATCATACAAAAGTATACAGTCTAAGCCTGTACGATGATGGCGGAGGCTTCCACTGGAAGAGATTGTCTTGCCGGACCCATCGCTGCACGTAGCCTGGGATGCTGGGTTTGGGAGTGAAAGCTGTTGTGTTCAGAGTTTGGGGTTTCAGTAGAGGGGCCTTAATGATTCTTCATAATTAGAATAGGGTGTTGGGCCATATCAAGCAGTAACTATGGTACGGAGCCCCCAACATAGAATAGATAGTTATTCAGGCCCGCATCGTGGGGTTTCTTGGGATTGTGGGCTTCACTGGCGTTTCGGGGGAGCTTACGAGCAGAGTCTGGGGTTTGGGGCTTCCCACTCCGGGTTTCGACTCTCACACTCGCACCAGGCAGGAAAGGCTTCCTAGTTCGGTCTCCGCGGGTCAGACCCAATGTGCCCCCTTCTGAAATCAAAGTTCCTACGCATGACTGCAAAAGAGGGACGTAGGAGGAAGAGAAATCACTAGGGTTTAGGGCTTCAGGGGTTTAGGGTTTTGTGCCTCCCACCTAGCAAAAGAACCCTAAACCCCTGAAGCCCTAAACCTAAACCCAGGGTTTGGCGTTCCAGAAGTATCACACAAGCAAAAAAGCAAGGAAGCTCACTTAAACAGTGGAAGGGAAGGCTGCAGTGTTCGAGTCTTTGCGTGGCAAGTCCACAAGCTGCTACACTGAAAGGAACAATAGCAGTACATGAGCAAGAACCATACGTAGCATATGTACAGGTTGAAACGCTTTGGGAAATGTCATGCCATAAGCAGGGTAAGGAACACACCATGTTAGGAGTGGTATCAGGTCCTCCGGCTCCTCTGAGCTAGACCCGGCCTGAAGCACCCTAGACCCTAAACCCAGGGCAGTTTCAAAACCAAATCAATTCGAGACGTGCGGCCGATGATGGCTGCTAAGCCCTTCAGCTGGGTCATATCCAGTAAAGTGGAAAGCTCCTGCCACGGTTTAAGCTTTAGGGTTTAGAGCGGCTTAGACGGTACAGTAGGCTTTATTTATGCAGGCTTGGTCTGTTGGAACCTTGGAGTATGTCTTCGTGCTCGATGCACCGGAGCGTGCCAGCAACCCCACCCTAGACCTGAAAATAGGGGCCTTCATTGTTACCGGCAGTTGCTTTATTTAGGAGGATTGTGCATTCTACAATAATTAAAACCATGTCCGAAAGGGAACTATCGGTACTTGTCCAGATCCCTTTACTCAAGTGTCTGAAAAGGATGCAACTTTCGGAGTGGAAAGTATTTAAGATTCAGGATTTTGTTGACATCCCTTTGCAAAAGTAAACTTAAACTCGAAACCCCAGACCGTAAACCACAAGCCCTAAACCCCAAATCCAAACCCTGAACCCCTTTCTGCGGCTCCCAAGGTCTCGATTCTTTTGCTTCACGGTCGTTGAGGTTCGGTTTGGGGTTGGGGCTTAGGGTGTAGGGCTTATCTTCGGATTTTGAGGTGCGCTTTGGAAGATGCTGGCTAAACAACCCAAGGGCGCCAGGATACGTCCCTGAAGCTCTCAACTGGCAGCTGTAAACACTCAATCCCAAGCCTTAAAATCCCCAAAACCCTTTTTTGACAGGCTTGAACTGAGCTCGCCCGGCCAAATCCCCAAAACCCTCAAACCTGAACCTGCTAAGAAACCAGTGGCTCAGAAGCGGGTCCTGGATGTCAAGATCCACATCCAAATGTGGCTCGCCGCCGGATCCTTGCTTTACTCATCTACCATCCACTGACGATTTTGGGCTCAGGGTTTAGAGTCTGTTGTCTTCATGCCCAGGTACCAACCTGACGAGAGTGTGGTATCCGTTGCAGATCCTCCTGGTCTACGATTCCTTCAGGCCCGAACTCGAGTCCACCTCGTGAGAGCTTGGGGACCACATGAAGCTACCGGATCAGGTATGTTGGTAGGCTTTCCAGCGGCCGCACGAAGAAACAGTGCCCGACAACACATGAGAGCTGTCACAAGGAACCCGGCACTCTAAATCTCATCCGGAACCCTAAACTCTAAACCTAAACCGAACACCTCAACCCTGAACCCGACACCAGTCTATCTCACCCCAACAGCATGATGGGACTACCGCCTCCTGGTCATCCAACGAGACCAATCAAGTTGCCACCAAACACCACTGAAGCCCTCAACAGTAAGCTGAATTCACAGCAGTTCACTCAGCCTTTAAGCCCTAAGCCCTGTATCGCAAACTGACTTCATACAACATTCCATAACCCCTAAGGCAGCCCTCTAAACCCTGAATCCCAACCATCCTCTCGCGCATACAATTCTTATGCCGAAGGAGCCCTTGAAGGGCAGGCAAACGAAATGGAGGCTGAAGTTGCAGGGTTCCACCTTTGAAAAAAAGGAAGGCCGAGTGCCTAGGGCCTAGGGCTTTGGGTTGGGTGCTTTGGGGTTGAAACTCATGAGGTTGTGGTGTCAAAGAGAAGCCGGTACTCGGGGATTCTTCTACCACGGTTCCACGATGCAGGAACGAGATACCGGTTTTGAAACTTCTGCAAGACTTCATGTGCTAGCGAATGCACAGTGGGGTCTGGCAAACGCAGAAAACAGCTACACCTACTAACTCATCCACACCGTATGAGCCGTCTACTATTGCCAGCCTCATAGACCTATAGAACAAAAAGCTGCTCGAAGCTAAATGAGTGTGCGGTTGAGAATGCATACGTTCTGTACTTCAAGCCTTCCACTCATGGGCTGCGGCTTCGTGACACAATCAATCGATGCAATCTTGGGCCCCCAGGGACACGAAGCCGTGAACAACCTAATATAGTGACCTAAACACTTGGGGACCCTCCCGCCCCAGACGAACATCTCTGTGGCTAGGAGCCCAACTTCAAACAGCCCTGTAAGTCGCCTGTGACGTCCGTGGCAACTTGATTTTTGCGGCGAGCACTGTGCGTGTCGGGTGATTGTAGGTACGAGCCAACTGAGATGCTTTTTTGTCTTAACCAGCAAACGGTTTGGGCGCTGAGTTCTCGGGTCTTGCCAGGAGTTTCAGACATGGCTCATATACTTCGTCGCATCCTTCTTTCCAGCATGACTGAAATATCGGCTCCATCTCATACGGACTTGCAAGTCAGTCGCACACTGGTCGCAGGAAAGACGATGGCGGTGGGTGTATGTTGGGCTTTGGGCGTTTGTGCCATCACCCAACCGGTGGAAGGGCACCTGTGTGCCCGAAGCTAAGTGGAGAGCATGCTTCTTATGCAACCGCTCTCCCAACTACTAACGGCCTGTGCCTTTTGTGCAAATGTCTCGTACATGCGAGGGTCGAGAACTGCAAGAACCTAAGATCATGATCACAATACGCCTTGATGCACAGTACTGTATTGCACTGCAGGTTGGTATCGTTAAGCGACCAAATCATAATTCACTCAGAAATGTATCACTGGGTCCTGTAATTAGCGTAGTTGCCTCATAGAACAGCATTGTCTATCATTCTGTCATTCTGGTTTCTTTCCACCTGATTTAATCTAGTCTAGTGTAGTCGAACCTAAATCTAACCTTGCCTTACCGAACCTAACCTACTCTAACTGATCTGATCTATCATCTATCAACCTACCTATGTCTGCGATATCCATCTAACATCTAACTATCTATATACCTCCGTTTCCACAGCATAGCGCTGCAGACTATGCTACGACACATCTCGGTCTACAATCATCTGCTTCAGAATGGATCTGCTCACGAGGCCTTGCAAGGCTGGCTCTGAATTTGGCATGCGGGGTGCGCAGCTCCTTGACCGGGCCCCCCAACCTAAATTCCTAACAGATTCTGGCAGGCCTTCCTACCAAAGGTCTACTCTTCTGCATTCTCGCTTGTTCATAGCTGCGCGGCAAAGACTTCAGGCACCACCATGGAGACCCTGAAACATGGCTTTCTTGGCCTTCTGCCTCTTCTTCTTCTCTCCCTTGTCACACAAGTGACAGAAGGAGCACATCTGGCCTAGGCTGTTCTGCAACTCACCGGGAAAAGTGCAGACTTTTTGGGGCGAGCTACTACTACTATTAGAATAGGAACCCAGAAGCCAGAACAGCACAACAGGATACCTTACAGAAGATCACAGTGACCGTTGACGCAGCCCTTGGCGTGGAGGAAGGCGCAGGGCCGACAGTCTTTCCTGGGTTCTTGTTTATAAGATTAAAATTTTAAGTTACCATGCTAAAGAAACAACTGTATTTACGATAGATCGCTTCATGGTCATTTAAAACCCTAAACCTTAAATCCTAAACCCTAAATCCTATAAACCCTAAACCCTAAATCCTAAATTCCTAAACCCTAAAAACCCTAAAGACCCTAAACCCCCTCTTAACAAAGAGCGCAGCTTCGTGAAATGGCCCCTGGAGCCGAGGCTGGGGAGCTCCTCCGGGGCAGAAAAGCGGACAAAATCTCCCAAAAGAGATCCCCTACCTGGGGTTTAGGGGTTTCGAGTCCAGGGTTTCGAGTCTAGGGTTTAGGGTTTAGGGTTTCGAGTTTAGGGTTTAGGGGTTTAGGGTTTCGAGTTTAGGGTTTAGGGGTTTCGGGTTTAGGGTTTCGAGTTTAGGGTTTAGGGATTCGAGTCTAGGGTTTAGGGTTTAGGGGTTTAGGGTTTAGGGGTTTAGGGCTTAGAGTTTAGGGTTTAAGGGCTTAGAGTTTACCTGGACCCTAAAGAACCTACCTTTTTAGGGTTCCTTATTGTGATTTCCTTATGTAAGTCCTTAAAACTGTGGGTTCTTCAGGGTCCAGGTATACCCTAGACCCTATAACTTGAAACCCTAATCTCAAAGAGATGATAGACCCTGATAGAAGGCCTTAGAGATCCCCTTAAAGGCGGAACAAATAGTAGCACTGTTATAGTATCCGCTACAGCAAACCCTTGATAATAGCCCCTTTTTTTGCATGCCCTTCTTGTGGAATACCTAGAGATCCCATACTGTAGGAACCATTCTAGGAACTTTCAAAGGACCCAGAACCCCCAACCCGTCTCCTCGGAGCTGTAAGGGCTGGGATCCTGGTAGCTGTAGGACACTTGGGGTGCCGGGGCTGCCTCGTAGGGCAAGCTGGGTGCTTCGAAGAGGGCATCTTCAAGGCAAATCACGGGTCTGCTGCTTGGGATGATGGGCGGAAACTCATCGGCATCATCATCCTCGAAGAGCTTCTCAATCCACCCGATGTGGCTAGCTGGACAGGAAAAAACATGTTTCGAAGCATCTTCCACACCATTTTCGGGCGTCGCTACGTGGATGAATGTGTTGCGAACTTGGACTGCCTCAGGCGGATAGATCTCTGCATCTGCATCCTCCGGGATGGAGATCTGCATGTTATCCCGGCACCTGTGCAGCCCCGAGCCCAAGTAAGGGTGGCCCACTGGCGCCATCATGTCCATTGCCATCGACATTCCTACTCCTACGGCTTCTCGAAGCCGGCAAAATCTACACCAAGTTTGAGCCTGTCCAAACTACCAGCGGAGAACTTGGCTGGAGTTTCCTTCCGACACGTTATTACTATGACTAGGAGTGGTACCAGTAGCACCATTACAATGAATTTCAAGCAGCCCAGCAGCTTTTCAACTCAAGTGCGCTATGCAATAAACTCATTGGGCAAATGCGAAAACAGGGGCACGATGAGCCAAAGTGCCAAGTACTTGTGCTGGCCGATGATGTCCCGCAAGCGTCGAGCTTTCTCACGTAGACGGTGCTGAGACAGATGCACGGCGTGAGGACCTGCGCGACCCTATCCACATGTTCGGCCATTCTCGCGTTGGCAGAGACAGAATGCCACGATGCAGCAGAAACAAACTGGTGGAACACCTAAATTCTTTCGTTTTGAGACCTGATGAGTCAGGCTTGAGAGGAGTTAACTATCCCCTCCAAGTGAATACATGACTCTAAACACGGCAGCCGCAAGCTGCAGACACTCCGGAAAGACATTCCAATGGCCAGCGGACGTGACCCATCTAAGCGCTGGTTCCCGATAAGCTCGCCTTGCAACGAAAATTTCATGAAACACGCTCCGCGGCCTTGTCGTTCATCCAGCATCCGTTGCATGACAAAGCGGCTGATGCCATAGCGCAAACGCTCCCACTTCCTTCCACGATCAGTTAAAAGGGTTTACACAGTTTGGGGTTTCAAAGCTGGAAACCCTAACCCAGCAAAGAAGGTTCCAGAGCGCTCGTTGAAGCGATGCCTGAGGATCTTCCGAGTCTTCAGGAAATCGGAAACGTTGCATCCGCTATCCTCAGCGTGCAGGGGAGGATGCCTAGATTGCTGTTGTAAGTCTGGTGCTCGGAATGTTGGTGGTGCCACTGGTGGCTAAAGTGGTAACAGTAGTAGTCGTAGTAGTAGTAGTAGTAGTAGTAGTAGTAGTAGCAGTAGCAGTGGTGGTGGTAGTAGTAGTAGTAGTAGTAGGAGGAGGAGGAGGAGTTGCAGTAGTAGTAGCAACAGCAGC